ATGGTCTCGGATACTCCATGGAATTGAGTAATTCCACGGACGTAAATACTGAAAAATTGCTCCATGGTCATCGTCATCCTCAGGGCAAACGTGGGCCGACTTTGTCAGTCGATCCACAACTACCCAAACCACATCGAGCTGCTCTTTTGATTTGGGTAGTCCCGTAACGAAATCCATGGTAACGTGCTCCCCCTTTCACAACAAAACCTCTAATGGTTGCACGAAACTGAGTGGAACTTGTGCTTGGCATTCACCTGCTAGCAAACCAAGCACTCTTCCAATAACTTGGAAAAGCTAACTAAGGTATATGACAAAACTCTAAACTTTAAGTCTAAGATTTCTAACTCTGAATTCTGTCTTCCTCCTGCTAGTGATCTCGGCTATGCCATGGCAACTCCGGTATCAAGCCCCCAGGTAAATTCGGACTAGTGACTCTTATTTCAAGCCTCAATAATTTTCCCGGCCTTATGGCTATTATACACCGTTAACCCAAGTCAAGAAACTGGGGTCTTTGTCTGGATACTGTAATAGGGCGGTACCGGCATTGGTCGGTCTCGCTGGTACTCGTTCGTCATGGCAACTCGCTAAAATCTCACTATGTGCCTTAGATAAAATCCGAGACGAAACTTTAGAAACTATACTGGTGAACCTTAAAGAAGCTCATCTATACTCTTAGCAGCATCGTCCTAGCTACAACGACACTCCTGAACTCAGAGAGACCTACTTCTCGACTCTCTGACTAGCGTACCTTCTGCCAAAAATGGTCGTAGGCACTATCTCACGGGTCAACTCGGATCCACGTGAGGCTCATCTATGGCTTCCACGTGTTGGAGTTCGAGCACATCTTCTCGAATTCGAAACGTGGGGAAAAATCGCTCAACACTCCCCGAGAATTTCGGCGACAAAGCTTCAAGCGTTAGGCTTAGCTCGCCGTCTCGGCTATATTCTAAAAATGACCGGGCTAACTAAACTGTTGCTCATCTGCAATTGTGACCCTCGGGGTCA